TCCGGCTGGTCCTGGCTGAAGAGAAGCCCTGAGGCGGCCTCGCTCTGCCGCGTGGCGTGCGTTGCTCCTCGCCAGGTCCCACCGCGCAGGCGGACGGCGAGGAGAGCTGGCGGGGCTCGCTGCCAGCAGGATTCTCACTCGCTTCCAGAAACTCCAAGTTTTTACGCGCACACACACCCTTTGACAGTATAAACAATTATGTGTCGAGGAGCCGAGGAGGGAGAACGTGGTTGAATCCAGCTTTCTGATGTGAGAATGACTTTAAGAGTCCAAGCCTCCCATTTTACAGCCGAGGGAACTTGGGTGACATTTCTTTTCGTTTTGACCTGTTGAAAAGAGGCCCCTGTATGCGAAAACAGTGTAGCTGTCAAATGAAAAAGCATTTCAGTAATTTTAAGCTCATAGTTGTCAAGCTGTCATCTGGTTTAAAATCAAGACCAGCTGATGGCTATGTCAAAACCAAATCTCATGCATAAAGCTGTATTAGAGGAGGTAAAGTTGAGTTGCTGTAATAGAGATCTAGAAAACAATGGCTTAAAGAATACAGAGGTTAGTTCCGTCTCTCTCACTTAACAGCCATCTCTGCTCATCTCATGTGAGTGGGTCAGTGCTGCTCCATGAGGTCATTTAAAGGTACAGGTCCCTTTCATCTTGCTGCCCCCCCAGTCCCTAGGGCGGTGATGGCGAACCTTTTGAGCTCGGCGTGTCAGCATTTTGAAAAACCCTAACTTAACTCTGGTGCCGTGTCACATATAGAAATTTTTTTATATTTGTAACCATCGTAAAACAAAGATTTATATTTTTGATATTTATTTTATATATTTAAAATGCCATTTAACAAAGAAAAATCAACCAAAACAATGAGTTTGCATGTCACCTCTGACACGCGTGTTATAGGTTCGCCGTGACACATGTGTTATAGGTCCGCCATCACTGCCCTAGGACATGGTTGCTGTCTGCAGGTTCAGGCTCATCACCGCCTCCTCCGAGGGTCAGATAAATGGGGTGTGGCAAAGCCCTCCCCCACAACCCTCATCTTCAGGCCCAGGCTTTGGAAGTAGCCCTCTTCTCTTCTTCTGACATCCATTACTGAGAAGTAGGCGTGTGGTCACCCCTGACTGCAAGGAGGGCTGGGAAGTGTCCCCTGGTTGGACAGCCATGCACCTGGGAAGAAGGAAACGGGATTTAATGGCCATCTGGCGTCTCCACCACAAGATGGCCTGTGTTTTCATTGTTGGTTCCTTTGTTACAGTTTCAAGACTAACAAATTACTTCTTTCTCTTTCAGGCAGAGTTGGGCCTAAATGAGCACCATCAAAATGAAGTTATTAATTATATGCGTTTTGCTCGTTCAAAAAGAGGCTTGAGACTCAAAACTGTAGATTCCTGCTTCCAAGACCTCAAGGAGAGCAGGTATCCCGGTGGGAACACGGGTCCTTCTGGCAGCCAATGTAGGGGAGGCTGTGGCAGAGGCCATGCAAGCCACTGCCGGGGTTATCATGGTCCGTTACCACTGACAGCAGCTACATAGCCACATGGGTGTGTGAGACTCAAATTAAATTGTGGTAGGAGCAGTCTGTTCTCAAACCTGCACGCATAAGGGGTTGCAGTGGGACCATGGGCATGTCACCTCTGCCTCCTGCGTCTGTGTTTCCATCTGCAGAGTGAGGGGATTGAAGAAGTTGGCCCCAAAATTCCCTCCCATCTCAAACACTGTCTGTGGGAGATGAATTTTTTTTAAATGTATTTTATTGAATTTTTACAGAAAGGAAGGGAGAGGGATAGAGAGTTAGAAACGTCAATGAGAGAGAAACATAGATTCAGCTGCCTCCTGCACACTCCCCACTGGGGATGTGGCCGCAGTCAAGGTACATGCCCTTGACCGGAATCAAACCTGGGACCCTTCAGTCCGCAGGCCGATACGCTATCCACTGAGCCAAACGGGTTAGGGCGGATTTTTAATGCTATTGTTGATGATGATGATGATGATGTTCACTTTTATGGAGTAGTCAGTGGTCCATGGAGTTTTAACTGAGAGAAGTTAGATTTTTTTTGTTTTATTTTATTTTCAAGTCTCAAGAATGGTAGGAGAAGCAACATATAATTATCATTGATTTTCTCATAGGCATTTACTACCATGTGAATAGTTCCTACAATTATTGAAATGCTAGGTAAATAATAGAAAGAAAAGAGAAATTGTAGAGAGCACCTGGGAAGGCACATGAGCTGATTGTCGACTGAGTCCAGTGACGTTGGCAGAACCACGTCCTGGAAACACACTGTGCCAGATGCAGGTGTGTTGTCAGCCTGACCCTTAACTCAAGCACCAGGAGGTGGGTTGCATTAAGTTCAGCCAGGCGCAAGGAACGAACGCAATTATCCGGGCTCAGCCAGGAGTGACAATTACAAAGAAGCCACAAGAATGAAGAATTGCTGCTTGATCCTTAACCATGATTTCACATAATTCCCTTTGCTTTAAACTCTAGTAAAACTTCCTAGAATCATGCTGTATAATAAACAGTGTATATAATAAACGCGCTGCACCAGTTCTGGGTCACTGTCTCTCCATCAGAGGGCAGCTTGTCCCACCCGGCCCCAGCTTTTCCCTCTGTCTTTGTGTTTATCTCTTTGTTTCATTTTCTCAATCCCCAGCCATCCCTACTCAGGACTCATGTCTGCGTCGGCCCTACTCAGGACTTGTCATCCGCTCTGTAGCTGTGCTGGTTGCGGTAAAGAGAGAATACTTATAAGAAATTACTTCTTCCAGGTGACTTTTGAATTTACTAACTGTGACAAGACGAATTTCAGTGAAGAATAAAAAGACTTTTAAACTGAAAAATTAAAGAAAAAAGTAAATAATTTGGGGGAATGTCTCCGAGCATATACTTGTATTAAAGGATGTCCACATTTGAAGAATGAGCCACAATTTAATCGCTTAAATAGACATCACAATTTAATGCAGCTTAAGTTATTTTTAATCTGCTTTATTAATAAAAGGGATAGCTTCCGGAGAGATTGTCACAATAACCTGTCATCCCCTCCAAGTCACAGTGCAGGTTTCTTTTATTGTGTAAATGGCTTTTGTTGTTCATGCGGAAGTTTGGGTTGTTGCATTGCAGGCTGGTGGACGAGACCTTCACCATAGATGAAGTCTCCGAGGTTCTGAGCGGGTTGCAGGCTGTGGTTCACAGCGAGGTGGAGTCGGAGCTCATCAACACGGCTTACACCAATGTGTTACTCCTGCGGCAGCTTTTCTCGCAAGCTGAGAAGTGGTACCTCAAGCTGCAAACAGATATCTCTGAGCTTGAAAACAGGTAATAAAATGTATACCTGCAATTATGACAATAGCAGCCCAGGCATGTTCTTACAAGTTAGTGAATGTCTTCTTGGGGCAGGTGCGCAAGAAAATTCAGGCTGGGCAGTGGCAAAGCATGGGTCTTGGGTGTCACTTGACGTCCTCTTCAAAATTCTCTGCTGCTACTGTTCCTGGGCATTAGGAACGTATGAAATTGCCTTTGAGGCTGTTGCTAACTATGCCTTACAGTATATTTGGCAGCCTGATCAGCATTACAATAAACCTTTAGAGATAGGTCAACTAGACCTATCTTTTAAATAGGAAATGTAAAAAAATGTTTATAATCCAAACATCATCAAAGAGCTCATTAATTTTTTAAAAATCGGCAAGCTTGAAACTCATCCTAAGAAAAGTCATGCAGAAGTCAGGAAAGACTGACCTCTGACCCTGGGGCTGTGACCTCAGCACAGCTGCAGCTGGTGGGCCACATGGAGAGTGTGGACCACACGGTAGGGCCGGCAGTAGGGAAGGAAAACCATGAGTAGGTTACTGGTGAGTAAACGAGCAGCTGACGGGGAAGGGGCTTGGACGGGCAGTGCGGCATTCCCGCCCAGGCTCTCACAGCGCCGGCGCTCGCTCCCCTTTACAAAGGAGAGGAAGCAGTCAGGCCGCTCACCCGAACCACTGTCTCTGGGACTGTATCGACGTTTCCAGGTGGCTCGCACTCTGTAATCCCATCTTTGTGAGGCTCCTCTATGAAAATCAGTTTGTCTGTCTTGAACATCTACTAGCTAATGATGCATATTCTATGATAAGCCCCCTATAGCACCGCACAAATAGAGTTGCCTACAAATTTCAGACATATTTGTCTAACATTGTAGTTCTAGCGGTTAACAGGGTACACTCAGTGGGTGGCAAGTCCTAGGTGCTGTGGCTGACTCAGGGTTGAGGCCTTGTGCTTGGACGGTGACCGTTGGTAACTAGATATTACCCTGACATGGGGAGGTGTGCCTCTCGCTCTCTTTTCCCAGCACGTGGGAGATTGGTTCCGGCGATTGTATTCTTGTGTGTGTGATTTTATTATAAATTCATTTTCAATAAATGTTTTTCATATTTTCTTTTTATCATCTAGGGAATTACTAGAACAAGTTGCAGAATTTGAAAAGGCAGAATTTACATCTTCCACTAAAAAGGTAATTTTTTGTCATTTTAAGTCTGCCTTAATAGCCAGTATTTAAAGTCCCCAAGTTACTCCGGGCACTCAGAGGTGAAAGTGAGAGCCCTCAAGGTAAAACTTTCGATTTAAGAGCAGGATTGAAAACTGTCTCAGACTTTCAGGCAAAAGTAGAAAAGTTTTGTAAATAACTGTGAAAGCCTGTTTTTGTCCACTCTCTCCCACAACACACACACTCCCTGCCGTACCTGACTCCCGCCATATAAACTCTCCGCTCCCATGATGCAGAGCGCAGGCATGTCCGCCCACCTGTGCGCACATCCTGGCTCTGTCACGCTAGAGCTGCGTGACCTTGAGCAATTCACCTGAAATGGCTGAGCCTCGTTTTCCTCGTCTGTCATGTGGAGATCATACTAACAGGAGCTACTTCTCTCTTTAAAAAAAAAAAATATATATATATATTATTGGTTTTTTACAGAGAGGAAGGGGGAGAGAGTTAGAAACATCTATGAGAGAGAAGATCGATCAGCTGCCGCCTGCACCCTCCCTACTGGGGATGTGCCCGCAGCCAAGGTACATGCCCTTGACCGGAATCGAACCTGGGATCCTGAGTCCGCAGGCTGACGCTCTATCCACTGAGCCAAACCGGTTAGGGCATACTTCTCTTTTTAATCCTCGTCATTTGCAATGACTACTTGTTGCCCCATAAAAACCCCCAAAATGCTGCTGAGAGGAACCCGTGAATATACACATACAAACAGTTTCCCAGGTATTCCTGTGGAACACATTTCTGCCTAAGACATTTCTCGGTCAGAGGGAATGGATTCTTTTGTTTTTTGTACACATTGCTACAGTGCCAAGTAATTCTCCATCTGCAGTGTAGTTGCCTAAGTCCTCATCAGTATTACAGTTTTTCCCAGCATCTGGGTTCATGCAGAAATCTGTTTCCGCTCCCACAGGTTAAATGAAAGGGTCATTTTGGGTCATTTTCAATCCCAATCCTGAGATGCCAGGGTTTGTACCTGCTCTGGGTTTAAGCACCTTCCCTCCTTTCCTTCCATCTGTATTTTGTACAAAAGACATGGGAGGATGGCTTTCATGTTTGTCTCCCATTTGTATTGGGCCCTGGGAACCAAACCCACATGAATCCCCTCGCCCGAGGAGCTGACGTCCCCGTGGATGTGCCTACACAGCATCTCCATTTAGAAAGTGCAAGCGCTCCATGATCACACGCGATACATCCCATGCTGGTTTCAGTTCGGTTTCTGTATTTCATTTCAGCCCATCATAGACATCATAAAGCCAAAACTTGCTCCACTTAACGAGGGAGGAACAGCAGAGCTCCTGAACAAGGTACTGTTGCCATCATTTTGGGGGGCGCAGATCCTCTATTCCATCCTCTCCTTGCCTGCACAGCTCTAGAGTGGAGACCCTGAGGAGAGGGAGCTGGGTTAGGGTTTGGTCCACAGAGAGAATTAGTCTGTTGTTGTTTTACTTAATGGTACCGGTGGGCCAGAAGAGGGCATACTTACTTACTCTAGCAAGTCTGAAGCAGCTCTTAAAAAAAAAAAAAAAGTTTTTGAATTACAGTTGACATTCAATATAATTTTATATTAGTTTCAGGGGTACAGCATAGTGGTTAGACATTTATGTACTATACAGAGTGATTCCCCCGACAATTCTAGTGCTCGCCTGGCCTCAGGGTTATTCCAGTACCAGTGAGCTTGTTCCTGCAGTGTGCTGTACATCCCCACTGAGCAGCGCCCGTGGCACTTTCTCATGGGGGAGTGAAGAGCATGGCATTTTGGACATCATTTATTGATGGGCATTTGAAATTTATAATCTGTGCTAACAATAAAGGGAATTTTACTAGTACTGAGAGGTTTATAAAAATTAATTACCAATATACAAATAAATATTTTTCATGATTCCTGTATTGTCAACATTATGCTAGATCTTGTTCGACAAAAAGCAGTCCAATTCCTGGCCTTTTACCCTCAAACACCTCCCAGTCTCCTGGGAAGGGGGAACGGGGATTCTGGAAGCAGAGAGAGGGAAATGCTAGTTGTTGCCACAGGTGCCACCGGGCGGCAGCAAAGACGCAGGGGTGAGTGTCAGAGGAGGACAGACTTGGGGCAGACAGGCTGCAGAGGAAAGACAGGTTAGGTGGTCGGAGGGAAGAGAAGGCCTGGTGGTGCAGTGGTGCAGGGTAGGCCGAGAATAGACAGGAGTCGCAGGACCAGGCGGGTGAGAGATGGCAGGGAGGGGCTAGGCAAAGGCTGAGGGGGAGGCTGAGAGAGTCTGAGACGTGAGAGAAGCAGCTAGGAGTCTCAGAGTCAACGGAGACTCCAGATGCCGCCGCCAGTGCGCTGGGGAAAATGGGATGTTACCCGTAACCAGGGCATGCAGGTTTTTATTATCTATTTTAAAATGAAACAAGTAATGTCAACTATTAAAAATTCTTTGGCTGAAATAACACAACTTTAATTTACTCACCAAGGAAATTTTAAGGCTTCAAGAAGAGAATGAGAAACTGAAGTCCAGGCTGAAGACCATCGAAATGCAGGTACCTGAGAATCACGCTAACGAGCCCTGAGAGTTACTTACAGGCTCATCCTGACCGTGTGTGTTCAAACTTGGCTGCAGGCTATGAACGTGCTGGGCGAGAAGTCGGAGCTGGAGAGGGCGCTGCGAGACTTACAGCTGGACCGGGGCAACCAGAAGGTGAACTAAGGCAGCTCTCTCACGTTGGCTAAACAGAGTTATGAACTGAACATTAAGTCCTCATTACTGTTCCTCCCTCACCATCACCCTCACTCCCCACCGCTGTTGTGCTGCACGGGGACCTCCTGGTCCAGGAAAAGCCAGTGAGAATGGCACCCATCACTCTGCCCTCCAGGGCCAAAGACACATACACAGCTCACGTGTCCCGAGAGCTCATTAGCATACAAGATATATATACATGTATATAGATAGATAGATAGATATAGATATATAGTTTTAAATACATATTTTTGTTGATTTCAGAGAGGAAGGGAGAGGGAGAGAGAGATAGAAACATCAGTGAATCATTGACTGGCTACCTCCTGCATGCCCCACACTAGGGATTGAGCCCGCAATCCAGGCATATGCCCTGACTGGAAATCGAACCAGTGACCTCTTAATTCATGGGTTGATGCTCAATCCACTGAGCCACACAGGCGGGTCATAAATAATTTTTTTATTCTTCCATGTGTATCAGTTAAACTTCTTCACCAGGATTTTTTAAACTTCAAAATAAAACCTGTTTGCCATCCCAGCACTGAGGCGCACAACCCTGTCACATGTAGAATCTCACCTCTGTCCTGCTTCTCTTCGGAATCCCCGCAGTTCATAGGTCATATTCTACGTGTTTGGAAGTCAGTGAGCCTGCACTCTGCCATGTGCAGGACACCGGGCACTGAGGGCTGAGGGTGAACGAGGGGGTGGGGGCTGGCAGCGCTGGGAGCCAGGGTACCGGCTGGGGAGGGAGGCTGGGGTGCACCTGCAGCACCACCTGCCTTCACCTCCTGTGAAGGTGAATCACTGTTTAGGGCGTCAGCATGAACTTACGCTCACGTGTGTATTTTCATAGGATTTTATAAAGGCCCAAGACTTGAGTGACTTGGAAAACACAGTTGCCGCTTTAAAGAGTGAGTTTCAGAAGACACTCAGCGACAAGACAGAAAACCAGAAGTGTCTGGAGGAGAGTCTAGCGACGGCCAAGCACGACCTGCTCAGGGTTCAGGAGCAGCTGAGCATGGCTGAAAAGGTCCGATTTGTCTGTGAATGTCCATGGCGTGGTGGGTGCCGTAGAGGGAAAGTACAGGGCGAGCGCTGGACAGCTGCACATTCACATTTTCCTCCAGGTGCTGACCAGTATGTGTTCTAAAGATCATCATTTCTGAGCACTGAAATTCTTCCATCTTTGGCCCTAAAATATCTGTGATGATAAAAATCTCAACTCCTTCTGTTGTGTGGTTAAATATTCCACTTTCCCTTCCTGCCAGTCACTCCTACAGCCTGTCAGAGGGATGGGTGACTTTTTTTTAAGGATTCTATACCTTTAATTTGTAAGAATTTGGGAGCAAAAATTTAAGTAATTTAAAAATCCTGAAATACGACTCTACTTTGGGATTTGGAAAGAGATCGTGCTTGTTTCACCTGAAATTACTTTACTGTTTCAAATACCTTTCCTATGTCTAGGGTAGGGGTCCTCAAACTTTTTAAATGGGGCCAGTTCACTGTCCTGCAGACCGTTGGAGGGCCGGACTATAGTTTAAAAAAAAAAAACTATGAAAAAATTCCTATGCACACTGCACATATCTTATTTTGAAGTAAAAAAAACAAAACGGGAACAAATACAATATTTGTATTTGCATGTGGCCCGCGGGCCGTAGTTTGAGGAGCCCTGGTCTAGGGCATAGCATGCTTGAGTGATTTGCTAACATTATGTTTGGAGAGACATTACTGTTTTGTTGGCTTGTCATTTGAAAAAATATTTTTAAAGTTTGGATACTCATAATTTTATATGAGTATGTTTTTCAAAGAAATCTGAAAATAATATAAGCAGAATATTAGTGAAATTAGAGCAAAAAATATACACTTTCATCAGATTTGTTCATTCCTTCCTTAACTGCTTCTTAGTAGTGAGCTGGCATTTTTCACTGTGCAGGAATTAGAGAAGAAATTCCAGCAAACAGCAGCCTACCGGAACATGAAAGAGATTCTAACCAAGAAGAACGACCAAATCAAAGACCTGAGGAAAAGACTGGCAAAGTAAGTCATGCCCATCTGCCTCGGGTTTTTCTCCCTGCTGGGTCGATGTCTTTTCTTCATTAAACCTAAGCTTGTGTCCAGAGAGGTCAGGCCGGTGGGCATTGCTCTACCATTTAGTCCGAAGCCTGCATCTGAGACAGCGGAGGAGCTTGGGCCTGGCCTTGTCTGTAATGCCCACCGGGCTTTTAGGTCCAGCCAGTCCTGTAGACTCGCCCACGACTGCTCTAGGCTACTCCTGGCAGTGGATTCAGGTAGCAGGATCTCGGGTGGGAAACAGCCAGCTGGCAGGGCAGCATTGGGCATTTCTCCTTCACGGTGTCCTTGCAGCATTCAAGACCTGGTCGTACTGTGCCCTCAGGTGACAATTTAGGTGCAGGAGAATGAGATTCACGCAGATGGATGCCATGGCCAGCATGTCTGAGAAGTCCATGCTCACAGAGACCCCAGTAGGGACAGTGCAGTTACAGGAGCTCACCGTGCAGAGGGCGGTCTCAAGCCGTGGCGCCCACCATGTACTTGGCGTTTGCTCACAGTCCTGGTCCAGATGGAGTCTACTAATCAGGGCCACTTTTGTCATCAGCAGTTTTGTCTGCAAACTCAGCTGACATTACCTTTATCGGGGGTTCCAGGGGAACAGAGCTAGGAAGTGAATCTGGGCTCATTAACCCATTACTCGCTTAGCCATACCAGCTAGTGGTGTGGATCTGAATGTAGATAATGACTGAATTTCTACTCTGCCATCACGGAGCTAACTGTCAGATACAGAGGCTTGAGTCTGAAGGCATCTTAGCAGTTAGCCGTCCGTTCTGCCTGCTGTAGGAAGCCCCTCCCAGTCCCCGCGTGCCTGACTCTGCCTCAACCGTGATTTAAAGTGAGAAATGCGGTGTCACTGCTGTAGTCACTGGAGATGTTTTACGTCAGCTCATCTGGTAACAGTGACAACAAGAGGGCATCATGATGCTATGCTCTTAAGTTAATGGGCATCTCTTTCCAGATATGAACCCGAAGATTAAAAGCTGAAGGTCTCATCCGGAAGTTGCCGGAGTGTGAACACCAGCTGTTCTCACCTCAGGCATGTATTTGGAGAAGTTTGTTGTATTCCCTCTTTACGTTTCTAATGTTTAGACTTTGCTCCGGCTGTTTAAACTGGAGTTCCTGTTTTCAGTTGCCTAAGGACAGCCTGGCTCTGGCCGTTGTCCCAAACCCCTCTCTGCGGAGTGCTCCCGGGCCTTGGCTCACATGCACCGAGTCCCTCACAGTAAAGAGATGTTTAGCGGGAAGAAGGGTCTCAACCTTTGCAATCCTCTGAGGAGAACCCCCTTTTAGCAAATGTTAAAGCGAGCAATCTCCCTACCTGTGCATTCCCAGGGCAAATACAGATACAGAGTTATTGAAGACATTACAAATAAACCTTATTTTTTAAAATGAAACCTAATTCATTTTCTCTATTTGATCATCAAGAAATATATGAATTAATTGGAAATGTAAATACAACCTATTATAGGCGACATTTTCACCGATTATAAGGAAAATTAACAGTGAACGAGAGAATTTACTAGTAACTTCTGCGGTCACCTCCATGCTGTGTTTATCGACGGAGGTTCGGACTTTTTTGCAGCCCAGCTTACCAAGAAAACTGATGGAGAGGCCAGGTGCACCCTGTCCTTCCACAGCTGAGAAAGTGTCTGGGCTCCACATAAATGGACAGTAGCCCCCCCTTATCCACGGTTTCACTTCCATGGTTTCCATTACCGGCAGTCAACCTCAGTCAGAAAATATTAAGTGGAAAATTCCAGAAATAAACAATTGCTAAGTTTCAAATTACACACACAGTTATGTCCCAGCATCTCCTGTTGTCCGCTCTGAACAACGGGACGGCCACCACTGAGCTCCGCAAAGCTGATGTGACCTCCCTTAGTGTTTCAGTGAAAGGGGTATCCCCTGCCCGTGCTGGGTCCTCCTGTCATAGCCATTCTAGCACACCACCCCTCGGGCCTTCTGACCCTCAGTGCTCTGCAAGGCGGTTGTGGAACCCGCCTCATTTGGGGGGATGCCATCATTGAGCAGTATCTTGGAACTGGCCTCATGTGTCCTTGCCACGTGCCAAATGCTAAAGCAGAAGAGAACCCCCACATCAGTGAACCCAGCCACCCTCTGTTCTCGCTCCCACTGGGCCGACATCCTCACGATCCACGTTCCCGTTCCCGCCAGCCCGTGAGAGCTAGCCAGGGTCTGCAGCTCTCCTGGGGAGTGACTCATGGCCTCCCCAGCAAGGCACCACTCCTCCACACAGGCCGTGCTGCTGCTCACCCATGTCATGGTTTAGGAGGAATAAGTGGAAGTGGGCAGATCTTGGGGAAGACAAAGGTTATCCTTTCAGTCTTTTCTCCCAAGAGAGGCCTTTGAATGATTGCCAGATGGGGGAGACTGCCCTTCTCTAGCACAGGGTCAGAGCCACCTGCTAGACCCAAGGGTTCAGGGGAACTTGGGGTGTCAAGGTTCTTGAGGGCATCTGCCCAAATGGGCTCACTCATGTCTGAGTCTCGTTCCTTCCCAGAGCCCTCGCTTAACGGAGACTTTCTAGGGGTGTGAATTTTGTCCCCTTTGTAATGATCCCTAATGATCCCATCTGGGCCTGATTCTCAGCAGGTTCTATTCTCTGCAGTTAGGTGGTAGGGTCTCTTTAAATGTTGCCGTGTGGCATTCTAGTTGTCACAGCATCTCCTGAGGGGACAGTTGGCTAGTCAGACCTGCCTCTCTCTTCCTTCATCCCAGTCCGTCCAAGGTGAGCGTTCTCACCATCGGGCTTACCACCAGCAGCGAGGTCCTGCTGTCATCTGGCTGCATCCCGCGTCTCATCCTGGGGGCCTGCTTTCTGGGGCCACTTCTGGCGTCACCTTTTAACTGGGCTCCTCTAAAAGCAGGCTCTGAGACAAGGATTTCGGTTCAAGTAGTTTATTATTTGGGGTGTTCCAGGAAGCACTATGAGTGTATGGGGCAGGAGACAGGAAGGGAAGGAAGTCAGTACAGTAGGTGACACTGTGGACCGCCACCCTTAGTCCCTCTCCGGAGTGAGGAGGCTAGAGCATGGTCCAACTCCTCATTTATCAGGGTGATGTTACCTCCGGCACTTCCTGTGCCTGGCTGCGCAAGTGCAAGCTCTGGCCAAGAGAGGCCCCCAGGGGCAGAGACACCAAGAGCCTCCTACTGGCCACCTGCAGGCTAGGGTAAGCATGTGGTTCCACAGTGAACTGGGAAGACAGGAGAGTAAGTGCAGTGGACATTCTGACACGCTGGCCATACTAACCAAAGGATGAACTCACGCTCGAAGAAATCACAAACCCTGTTGAGCCTTTTCAGCCCCCTGTGCTCAGATGGCCAGGCCACAGCTGCCTTTACGTAGTTACAGCCCTGGAAACGAGTATCTCTGGACTGAGAACCCAGACCAGACCCCGTCTTAGTGACGCAGGCCTGTCGTGGGTGCTCAATCCAAATGTTTGTGAAACTGAATGTCTGCTCCCTACGCAAGCACAGGTTAAGCCATGAAAAACCTTGATAGGTTGACCAAAATTAGATAATACCTATGAGTTGATTTTCTAGTACTAAGGTATCTCCATATAAATGATCAAAACTTTAAAATCAGCCATTAGAAAAATCTTTACTAGGGGACATAATTTCCTGCTTAAGTGGTGAGTCATAAGCATGATTTTATCTTTTCCTGATGACTCCAAGTTGCTCCTACACTATGACATTGACACCTGTAACAGTGACCTGTATTGCAGTGGACCCAGAGCTACTGAGGTGCGGAGAGATCTTTGCCCCTATAATAAGTGGTTTGCAAGCACTATGTTTTTTGAGCTGTTGCCTCTGATTTTTATGGTTTGCGCACATCCACCCGTGTCCTTTCCTATCGGACTGGCAGCTAACCCTCTGGTTTTGATCAATGTGCCAATCTCTGTTGCCATTTCTAATGGGCTTGGGAAAGAGGAGCTTATTAGAATTCTGTGCATCCTCAGTG